GACAACCCTGACCCACACAGACCCCTCCCTGGCCCACAGACCCCTCCCTGGCCCACAGACCCCTCCCTGGCCCACAGACCCCTCCCTGGCCCACAGACCCCTCCCCGACAAGAACAGCAGGACAGCAAAAGTCACGCTTTGGATACACGCGCAGGGCGCATCCACCTCACCAGTGTGGATGTTATAAAACTTCACGTTTAAAGTCTGTGTTTGTCACACGCGCACGGATGTGTGTATGTGTGTGTGCATGCGCGCGCGCACGGGGGGTGAGTGCATGTGTGTGTGAGCGCGGGGCGGGGGTGTCTGCCGCGGATAACAGAGCAGGCAGGAGGGGGAGAGGACGAGGAGAAGAGCGGGGGACTTACTTTTAATTTTATCTGACTTATTTAATTTAATTTTTATTGTTTTTATTGTCCTGCAGGCTCTGAGAGAAAATTAATTTGAAGCTGAGTTTTTTTTAATAAAAATGGTTAGATTAAAGCAAAATGAGGGAAAACCTGTGTCAATTACAGACAATCAGTTCACGTGAGCAGCTGTCAGTCAGCACCTGTCAGCCTCCAGACACACAACGGAGCGTGTCTGAACCAATCACTGATCATCTGACTGATTTAATTACATCTTAACATTCATGAGGTACTTTACATTGACTCTTTATGGTTGAATGTGGGCGTGTAGAGGGTAGAACCTGAGGAGGACCTCGTGCGCAAACTCTGACATGCGGCTGTGATTTATAAAGGAAAGATGCGCAGAAACGTGCGTACGCACGGTTTTATAAATTTGAAAAAAAAATTTGGCGTACACCATTTCCGTCTTTTGGTCGTACGTTCACTTTTAGTATGGTTTCCACGCAATCCTTTATAAATGAGACCCCTGAACAATCCTGTGCTCTTTACTGCACTCAGATTAGTCCAGTCAGGTGTAGACTCTACATAGAACCCATTTTAAAAAAAGTAAGAATATCTTCAGAAGTTGAAAATTGATCCAGAACATTATTTCAGTTTAGACAGTTTTGAACATAAAACCAGAACACTGCTTATCTTTACATTTGGTTTAATGACATTTAACATAAATAAACAGAATTATACTTTGATTTAGTTGTTTTGTGTTTAACTAGATTCAATTAAAACTCATTGTTAGTTATTGAAACCTGCAGGTTCAGATCCAAAAGAACAATATTCAGATTARATTGTCCAAACCTGCAGTTGATTAAGGCCACTTCAGCAGACTGGACCGATCATGACTGTAATTTGTCTGAAATATTTTCTACACTTCAAAATGAAATAATAAAACATTCATTTGACTAACAATACAGCAACCAGATGTTAATTTTAATTCTGTAAAAACAACATAATTTTTGGGTCATTTATAATGAAGTGAACAATCTGACTGACTGGTTTTATAAAGATTATGTTAGGTGACAAAACTGAAAAAAAGACCAACATTTTACGTTTCAATTTTCATCTTGAATAAAATAACTAATTTAGCTTCTACATTTCTGAAATGAAGAAACAAAAGTGTGTAAGTCCTGAACGCTCTGCTGACCTGAGATCAGCTCTGTTTTTATCAAACTTAGAATTACTCTAAAGAATGCTGTTAAGAGTGGACTTAAATGTAAACAGATTCTTAGCTAAAAGCTGAGACAAAAAGTCAGTTCTCAAGCGTCTCAGCTTCACTTGAAACGAGGTGTAAGAATAGTTCTTTTGTGTTCTTTAGTGTCAGACTTAGATCTGATTTATGACACTTTGCTCTGCCACAAACCTGATCCTGGATGACGCTGTTACAAAACCCCCAACATGGACCAAGCACTGCCTCGGATTACATCTTCAAGAAGATTCTGATAAATGACAAAATAAACTGTGAAAATCCTAAGATAAGTTCTCATTCAACACAATAATGTTCATACATGTCACATTGAACTGATTGTKATGAATTAAATTAAATGTCCTCATTTACATCATGAATAAAGAAAATCTGCAGRTTGAATTTTTTTAACGTCTCAGAGCCTGAGGCAATGTCGGGTTTGCACCTTCCTCCTCCACTTCCTCTTCCCAAAACCACCTGCAGACAACACACACACACACACACACACACACACACACACACTGATCCGTCATTATTATAGATTTCGTGAAGTTTGATTTAAAGGGAGAAAGCATAATAAAAGTTCAATTCCACCCTCACCAATGGGGGGAAAAAATAAGAAATTAAAGACTTTTAACAGTATTGTGTCTAATTTCACTCACCAGCTGACAGTTTAATATTCTCTCCAAAAGTAGCACACAAATATCCACCTTTTAGTCCAACATTATGGCCCTGCTAATCATTTTCCTCCCCTTTTTCCTTTTGTATTGATGATTATGCCCGTTTCCCACACCTTATTTTAGTTCCTCTGTATTATAACTGAAAATCACACTCAGGTGGGAGACCCCCGG